GATTAGAATCAATAGACTTACTTTCCCGACAAAAAATCTTAATAAGTCTTACACTGCTAAATTAGGGATGACTAGTGCAGATAGCCCTCATGTAGCTTTGCACAAAATTCAAAACAAACAATCATATTTATTAAAAGCTTTCAACATAGATCTACCATGTTCTCCTATGCACTTGACAAGAGTAATTTTCATTTGGTCTAAACAGTTACTCTCTCCTTTCCTTCATCTTTAAATGAACATATATTAATATATTAACATAATACAATGCCTAGCATGAACTAGTTTTTCCAGTATTCAACATGTTTGAATTCCTAACAGTAATAAACATTTCATGTTACAGTTGTGTATTTACACTTCATCGAATTATCTAACGGCTTGTGAATAATTAATATTTACGTCCAGTCAGAGCAAGCTGTGTACTAAATGTCAATCTGGTAATCAGTAGAGTTTAATTAAGTATACTTTTTTTTTCTTACATTTCTGATTATAAAGATTAGAATACATTGTTTCATCAGTTGGATACTATCATTGTTAAATGATATTTTCGGCTGTAATCGGGGTGCAAACGCATCCTTGAAAGTCCTCGAAATTGAGAATGGAATATAAAGTGCTTGAAAAAAAGAGGCCTTTTTTGCCAAAGTACTTGGAAATATTATAAGAACAGAATAGATACATATCTCTAACTTTAATGCGTGTTGCAGAGTTGAGCACAATAAATAGAAATTTTACTCAATTTCGGTGGAATCCGACTGATTTTGAGGTAGATTTTAGCTTCCAAAAAGTGCTTAAAAAACTTTCAAAGAGTGCTTAGAAAGTGCTTGAAATTAATCAGAGCAATTCATTATGAACTATGTGTAATTTCAGTAAAATCTCGCAAGGTTCGGCCAGCTAAGGTAATGCAGATTCGTCTTAAATACATAGATTAAGTTAACAGTGCTAAACAATATTTATAATAAATGGCATATTCTCCAAAATAGTTGTTGTCGTTAGTGAGGATTTGATTTGGATGATTTCATACCAACTAAGAATGAAAGTATAAATTAATTTCAATAATTTTTTCCACCCCCAAATAAATTATATTTCCTTTTTTTGTGTACTTACTGTGATATCTGTAGACGTGCACCTGATATATATATTTTGATAATTTGTAGCTAATGAACTGTTGGCAATTAAAATCACTTATCGAAACCCAAGATGATGTTTGAGATAAACAGTATATTCCTAAGCCTTTTGTCTTTTTGTTTTCACCCTGTTTTTATATGGATGAACAAGTTTGTTAGGTTTTTTATTATGTAAAGAGCTGCATGACATCTTGTTTTCCAGATATACTGTCTTTTATGTGTGATATCCCAGTACCAAGTTGTGAAAAGTTATCAAGAGCCCCAGTTTGTAATCCTCTATCCTTGAATGCCAGAAAATGAAGAATGGTTTATGGACTTCATAATTATTATTTTCTCACCAACAGTTTTTCTGTAGTTTTCCTTCCTATGATAAAATCAACTTTGTATATACAACCATCATGTAGACCCACACACACATACCACTTTTTTTTCTGTATTTTGTGAGGAGAAAGAGAACGATAATTTGATACATATTAATAAGAATGTGTAAATTGAAGAAGCTTTGATAATAAAATAGGAACAAAGATGTGTTCCACACAACCAAAATAATGATGATTCCTGTATGGATTAAAATTTTTTTTTAATATTTTGAGTTATTTTTATGTAAGTTTCTAATAAGTAAAAAAGGTGGTTGATTAGATCTTATATTTCAAGGTAAGGTGGGTTTCTCTGGTAGGATGAGCGATGAAGATTGATATAATGTTTACAGAGAGCACTCACTAGTAAAAGTTCACATTTGTAGCATGTATGTTGTACATTACGCTGAGTAGTTTGTTGAAGAAGAAATGAATGCGGCTTCATTATCAGTTTAAGCCGTTTCTTAGATAATCGTGGATAATAAAAAAAAATGTGTTGAACATTGATTTAGAAATAATTGGGAGGGTGAAAACTGATCTAAAGATAATCAAAATGCATATATTGTAAATTTTGTGGGGACAGAAATTCAAATAATACTGCTATAACTGTGTACAAATCGAACTTATGGAAAGTCTTTTATAGAATGAATCTCATGGAATTTAATTTAGAAAAACATTTTTGTTTTGTAATTGTTGGGTAGGTGTAGTGACCTTTCAGACATCAGAACGATTCATGCATATAACCACTTTTGTAACTTGTCTTTTTTTTTCAACTGTTATTTAATTACCATATTATCTGCATGTTCAACTAATTGTAATTAAAAATAATAATAATTATGAGACCTAATCAAAAGTAATGGATTGGCATTAAGTAAATTTTGAAATGTTGGGTTCTCAATTTATTAACCCTACTGTTTTCTAGAGAAAAAGCTTTTTTAAAAGAGTTTTTCTTAAGGACTAATCCTAACATGTTCTGTGTTTTTCTCATTCTTATTTTGATATCCGAAGTCATCATTTATAGCCAAATGACACTGATACAGTAACTTTAAACTTAACAAAGTAAAATAAGATTACGCTGACACGAAGTAACTTTTTCACCATTTTTTGTGAAGTATTTTTCATAAATTACATTTTCAACTGGGTACTAAATTAAGCAGATAACTTTAATATTTGTCAAAAATCTAAATTAATACATTGGTTTTAAATAAAAAGAAACGTATCCTTGTAAATAAACCATAATTAAAAGTACTGCCGTGCTTATTCTGTATGATTGTAGCCTATATGGTAGCTATAGACTGATAAAAAAAAAAAATTGGTAAGCTCAAATTTTTACATGCAGGTATTATAATATTTTTAGACTAATTTTATACAGCATATTTTTGTGTATATCAAGTTGTAGTAGGAATCTCAAGTGTGGGTAATACAAGCTGGCATTGATGTATTAGTAATTAATAGTCACAAAGATATGTAGTATTCGGATTCTCAGCAAGTTTCTCAAGAATGGGAGTTGAACTTGGTAGATAATAGTCATCTGATTGGGGGGGGAGTTAAATACTGCTCAGTATGCAATTTTATAACTTGTTTATAATTTCAAAAATATATAACAACGTTGATGATACTGATGGTTTTAGTGTTAATATAATCATTGGCTAACTTGTATGACTAGGTTATTTTGAATAGGATTAAGAACAAACTCAAAGCACTACTTTTGTACTTTAGCAAATACATTCTGATATGATGAAACTTTGTAGAATGGACGACAAGTGCCTGTTGTAAAGACACAAGTGCGTTGCCGTCCATTCTACAAAGTGTCGTCATGAATACTCTGCCTAAACAATCTATCAAACGTTCAGATATATATTTTTTTTATATAAACTATGACTTTGTTGTATAGTAGGTATTATTTCAATTTTGTATTTTAGCTACGGTATTGGTGATATTTTTTTTCTGTATTGTGTATGTATTCACACTTTATACTTGTATTTAAAATATTTTAGTTTACATTTTTAATTATAGGTGTCGCACCTCTTTCAAAGAGTTTGTATACCATGGTTTCAGTATGTAGAAAATAATTTAAATAAAAACTACATTTAATACGTTTGTTTCCGAATTTTGTTTTTGTTTAAATTAGAACTTTCACCTGTAAATGATTTTATATATAAATTATTAATAAACTTTATTCTACGTAGGAATTCATCACAACCTTGTATACGTAATCGCATATTTTAAATATTTAAAGCTAATGATAAAAATCAGGTTGGGAAAATGCTATACATTTGTTAAGAGTTTGATGCTTGAAGTAAGAATTAAAATTATGATTCATTAAAAGTTTTTGGAAATGCTAAGATAATTGCATACATTAAGTAAAAAAAAATATGCTGTTTATTATACCAGTGCATTTCGTGCGTTTTTTGCTGTTACAACGCTATACATTCTTGGAATAGCATGTAAATTATTAACTTCTCTTGATATATGAAGAATAAATGCGATCTTATTGAAGTTTACAAGATTATCTGTCGGTCGATAGGATAAAAGCCTCTTTTTTTCTTTTTTTTGTGCTGTATTCTAAGGGTGATATGACGAGAAGACACAAGTTTAAGATTTATAAAAAAAAAGGCTTAGGCTCCAGTTATTTTTCTATCAGGTTGATTGGCTTATGAAATGAGTTGCCGTCGGCAATAGTGGAGTCCAATTAAGAGGATAATTGATGATTTTATTAAATAGAAAGGGTTAGTTGCCATTTTAACCATTCCTGCGCCACCATTTTTTTTTTTTTTCAAATCACTTGACTAGTTGCACAATTTCTCGATGTAGCGGGTACATCACATCTCAAAAATGTTTTATGCAGTAAATCTTTGATGTTTTTTTATAACTTTCACACACTTTAGGATAAGATTATTGTATGATTTAGTGTGATTCCATTTATACTATTCATAAAGAGTTAAGTCCCAAATATCGTTAGCCAAAACATGTGCATCATTGTCCCACCAAACATGCTCGACCTTTCAGCCGTGGGGGCGTTATAATGAAACGTTCAATCCCACTATTTATTAGTAAAAGAGTTGGCGGTGGGTGGTTTCACGTAAAGCTACATGAGGGCCATCTGCGCTAGCCGTCCTTAATTTAACAGTGAAAAACTAGAGGGAAGGCAGCTAGTCATCACTGCCAACTCTTTCTTGGGCTACTCTTCTACCAACGAATAGTGGGGTTGCCAGTAACATTATAACGCCTCCACGGCTGAAAGGGCGAGCATGTTTGATAGGACGGG